GGAGCCATCCTGAGCTGAGCAGGTGAAGGGGGTGAGGGGCCCGGAGCCATCCTGAGCTGAGCAGGTGAAGGGGGTGAGGGGCCCGGAGCCATCCTGAGCTGAGCAGGTGAAGGGGGTGAGGGGGCCGGGAGCCATCCTGAGCTGAGCAGGTGAAGGGGGGGGGGGGCCCGGAGCCATCCTGAGCTGAGCAGGTGAAGGGGGTGAGGGGCCCGGAGCCATCCTGAGCTGAGCAGGTGAAGGGGGGGCCGGGGCCGGGAGCCCGGACCGGGCGGGGGCGCCGACGTGCCTCTACCTGCCAGTTCAAGGCGGCGGGAGTGAGGAAAAAGGCTTAGGGCCCAGGGGGCGGGGAAGGGGGGCCGGGCCTGGATCCGGCGGGGAGGCCGAGCCCGAGGCCCGACTGCGGCTCGCGCGGTTCCGGGGACACGAAGCGAACGTTGGTAGCGCGGCTCGAACGCCGGCGGCGGGTGAAAGACGGGGGCCCGGCGGGGCGCGCGCGGGGACCATGGCGTCGGTGCAGGCGTCCCGCCGCCAGTGGTGCTACCTGTGCGACCTGCCCAAGATGCCGTGGGCCATGGTGTGGGACTTCAGCGAGGCCGTGTGTCGGGGCTGCGTGAATTTCGAGGGCGCGGATCGCATCGAGCTGCTCATCGATGCCGCCCGCCAGCTCAAGCGTAGCCACGTGCTCCCCGAGGGTCGCTCGCCCGGGCCCCCGGCCCTCAAGCACCCGACCACCAAGGACCTGGCGACGTCCGCTGCGCAGGGCTCGCAGCTGCCGCCCCCTCAAGCCCAGGCCCAGCCGTCGGGGACAGGAGGTGGTGTCTCCGGCCAGGACCGCTATGACAGGGCCACATCTTCCAGTCGCCTCCCCTTGCCCTCCCCTGCCCTGGAGTACACGTTGGGGTCGCGCCTGGCCAATGGGCTGGGCCGTGAGGATGTGGTGGCAGAGGGGGCAAGAAGGGCCCTGCTTGGCTCCATGCCTGGCCTGGTGCCCCCCGGGCTGCTGGCAGCTGCGGTGTCTGGCCTGGGAAGCCGGGGCCTGACGCTGGCACCCGGCTTGAGTCCTGCCCGGCCCGTCTTCGGCTCGGATTTCGAGAAGGAGAAGCAGCAGAGGAATGCGGACTGTCTGGCAGAACTGAACGAAGCCATGCGGGGCCGGGCGGAGGAGTGGCACGGGCGCCCCAAAGCGGTGCGGGAACAGCTGCTGGCGCTGTCTGCCTGCGCCCCCTTCAACGTCCGCTTCAAGAAGGATCACGGGCTGGTGGGACGGGTGTTCGCCTTCGATGCTACTGCCCGCCCGCCGGGCTTCGAGTTCGAGTTGAAGCTCTTTACTGAATACCCCTGTGGCTCTGGCAACGTGTACGCAGGCGTCCTGGCCGTGGCTCGCCAGATGTTTCATGATGCTTTGCGAGAGCCGGGCAAGGCCCTGGCCTCATCAGGCTTCAAGTACCTCGAATATGAACGCAGGCACGGCTCCGGGGAGTGGCGCCAGCTGGGTGAGCTGCTTACCGATGGCGTCCGCAGCTTCCGAGAGCCAGCGCCCGCCGAGGCCCTGCCACAGCAGTACCCAGAGCCCGCCCCGGCAGCTCTGTGCGGCCCACCCCCGCGAGCCCCCTCCCGGAACCTGGCACCCACACCTCGCCGCCGTAAAGCGTCCCCTGAGCCCGAGGGCGAAGCGACTGGGAAGATGACCACCGAGGAGCAGCAGCAGCGTCACTGGGTGGCGCCCGGTGGCCCGTACTCCGCCGAGACCCCCGGTGTGCCCTCACCCATCGCAGCCCTGAAGAATGTGGCCGAGGCACTGGGCCACTCCCCCAAGGACCCGGGAGGGGGTGGGGGCTCTGTGCGTGCTGGGGGGGCTAGCCCTGCAGCCTCCTCCACCGCCCAGCCCCCAGCCCAGCATCGCCTGGTGGCCCGTAACGGTGAGGCAGAAGTCAGCCCCACGGCTGGGGCAGAAGCTGTTAGTGGGGGTGGAAGTGGCACTGGGGCCACCCCGGGGGCCCCCTTGTGCTGTACCCTATGCCGGGAGCGGCTGGAAGACACCCACTTCGTCCAGTGCCCCTCCGTGCCCGGACACAAGTTCTGTTTTCCCTGCTCGCGCGAGTTCATCAAGGCGCAGGGCCCGGCTGGGGAGGTGTACTGCCCCAGTGGCGACAAGTGCCCGCTGGTGGGCTCCTCCGTCCCCTGGGCCTTCATGCAGGGCGAGATTGCCACCATCCTTGCTGGAGACATCAAGGTCAAGAAAGAACGGGACCCCTAGGCCAGCACTGCCATCAGGCTACTGGCCCCCGCCCCTCGCCACCCACCGCTGCCGCGGGTAAATTATTCCCTCCCCCACCCAGCCCGTGCCGCCCCCCTGTGTACATACCCCCTTCCTCATCCCAGTTGGGTCCCCTGGGTAGATGCGTTGAGGGTGGGGGGAGAAAGCTTGTGGCTTGTGTCCGGGGGAGTGTTTGGGGTCCCTTGGCCCCTCTGGTTTCCCTCTCCCCTTCCTGGCTTGGCTTTGCTGCTGCTTGTAGTTGGGGGAGAGGTGTCCCCTCCTCCTTGAGACGGGGACTCCCGAAATCTCGCTCTTTATAAACGAAGCAAAAGCATTTTATTGCCCACCCTCCTTCCACCCCCTTTCCTCCTTCAATAAACCTGAAGATGGGTTTTTCCTTCTTGGTCCCTTAGTTGTGTGAGCTGCTGCGCCCCCTTCGGAGGGGAACTGGTCCTGCAAGGGCGCGCGCTCTGCCTCGTGGCCTCCAGGTGGCGCCCTTCACTCAGGCGGGCCCGCGGGCGGTCTTGGTTCCAATCACCGGCCCGTTTTCCAGGTGACAGAACTGAGGCCGAGAGGGGATGGCTCTGACAAGGGAACGCCGAGCAAGCTCGGGTTCACCCCCTGTACCTGGGCTGTGGGAGACAGCGCCCACGAGGGGAGGGGAGAGAGGCATGGGGGCTTCCTAGATGGGGCCGGCGGGAGATAATTGAGGCTCGATTGCTGGGGGGACTACCGAGGAAATTGACCTCCGTGGGCGGGCTACGCTTACAGGTTACTGGGAGCAAGGTGACCGCTTCTCCCTCCTGGTGGTGCCCAAGAGCGCAAGAGGCGGGCTTTTGGGAAGCCTGAACTGGGCTTCTGGCGCGCCCTCGCCGGGAGATCAGCCTCAGCGGCCGCCCCCCCCCGCCAGAACACCGTGACTAGTCTGGTAAAAGGCTCCCCCCGCGGCGCCTCTGATGTGCCGGCAGCCTTGCCCCGCACCTGTCGGTGAGCTGATCATTAACCAGGACTTCCTGCTGGCTGGCGTCACGGGGCGGGGCCTCGGCCGGCGGCGGCTAAGCAGGGGTTAAGGGGAGGGGATGGCCCGGAAACCGAGCCCCCACCTTGCTGCCTCCCCCGCGACCCTGAGTTGGAGGTTCCAGGAAAGGGTAATATGCCTGGCCGGCGCAAAGGCCAGCGGAGGGACCGGCACCGGGTAATGACTGTCCTGCCGCTGCTCCGCGCGGTGAGCTTGGCACCCAAGTTTGCTCCCAGATCTCAGCTACATCTGGAGGACCCCAAACCACCAGGCCCCTGGGTCACCCCGATCCAACCACACACCTTGCAGACTCCCCTGTTCCAGCTCCCCAATATCACGGGCCTTGTGTGCCTTCTGGAGATCCCTCTGTTCTTTGCCTGCTGGTTCTTGGACGGAAGGGTCTGTGCCCCTCCCCCAGCCTGCAGGTCTCAGGTGTTCTGTCAGCCCTGGCACTGCCAACCTGTGCTCTGGGCAGGGCTGGGAAAACCACCCCTGATTAAATATACTAGGCGATAAGCCTAGGGCAAGGGAGGCCAGGATGGAGCTTAAAGCCTGGGCACCCCTCCTGGGCAATCTCCAGGCCTCCAGCACCCAGCTCTGCAGACTCAAGCACTGGGAGTCTCCCCTCCCCCACCCTTCAGTGCTAGATGCTCCCAGACACCAGGGCCCTTGGCCCCAGAGAGGGCGGTAGAGTTGTGGAGGACACCTGGTCCTTTAAGAACAGCTGGTGGGTGGGTGGGGGGCAGGGGAGGCACCCCCAGCCCTGCCAGTGTGTATTCTAGATAGAGGTCTGGTTAACCATTAACAGAGCAGAAGGCCTGACCTGTGTGGGTGTGAGGGGCTGGATCAGTCCCCCTCCCCCAGCACCAGGGTGGGGCCAGAGTAGAGGGGTTCTGGGTTTATTTGGGGATCAGTGAGAAGGTGAAGAGACTTTGAGAAGGAAAGCCAGATGCCGAGAGACATGGAAAGATGGGAGACAGTGGAGGTGGGGAGGGAGATAAAGACCTGTGTACTGAAAGAGACAGGAGAGCCTGATAGACCCTCAGAGGTGAGGGAGATGAGGTGGAAACCTAGAGGTTCAGAAAAGAAAATTCGAGAAATGTCAAGATAGGCTGAGACAGACTAAACAAATGGTGTGCTGATGAGTGGCACAGAGGGCGTTGAGAGAAGAGTGAGTGAGATGGAGCGACGACGAGAACCGCTGTGAACTAGGAAGCTGGCTCAGATCAGAAGTAGATGGTTCAGCGCGAGAGTTCTCAGAGCGGAGAAGGACCGAACTCTGTGAAGGAAGGCAGGACTTGGTCTCTCTTGGTTATTGGTCACCAGTGACAGGACTGGCCTGACTTTCCTGCTCCGAGTCTCAGCCACGCTGACATCTCTTCCAGGAAGACTGCTAAGCTGTGTCAGGCGCCGTTTCTGGGCTCTCCTATCCCCAGTACACATTCTGGTCCATCACTGCCTGAGACTGTGAGCCCTGCTGGGGCAGGGCCACTCACCACAGCATCCCAGATGCCCCCCCACCTGCATAGGGTAGGCAGTGGGGGGCTCAATGCAGCCAGCCAGTCCTCTCCTGTAGCTGGTACTCAGGGGGGCAGATGCAGATGCACAAAATAAGGTGTCCCTGGAGCGTATGTCTGGCAAAGAGATCACCAGGGAAAAGAGAGAGAATGATGGTGGTTGCTATTTTAAAGAGGGAGGTTGGGAAGGGCTCACTGAGAAAAGGATGCTAAGAACAGAAGGCAGTGAAGGAGCCCACCAGAGGAATAGTGTGTGCAAAGGCCCTGAGGTAGGAGCCTGCTGGGTTTGTTCCAGAAGCAGCTACACGTAGCCCACACAGCTATGGTGAGGTGGGGAGGGGGGGAGGTCTGAGAAGTTATAAGGGAGCATGGGGGGGGGGAGGTGGCCAGGCCGTGGGAAGGACTTTGGACTTTGTCTAACAAAATGGGCGGTGGGCTTCCAGCGCTGAGAGGACGCAATGACGTAGACATGGCGCCGAATGTGCTAGAATGGGCAGCATCTCGCTTCTCTGAGCCCGGGGCTCCGCAGACACCTGGTGACTGTGTGTCTGAGTGAGTAAGACACAAACCGCAGGTCTGCATGGCGTCTGAGGGGTGTCCGAGTCCCAGGGCCACATAAGGACCTGGGGAGGCCCGAAGACACCGGCCCCAGGGAGACAGGCAGCGTCGGGCTGAGAAAGCCGTCCCACCCGGGGCTGGAAAAATCCCCCTGGCCCCCCCGCCCGCCTCGCCCGTGGCGTGCCCACTCACACCTCAGGCAGAGGAAGCTGGCAGGCCCCACAGGAACCTTTCTGTGGGGGGGGAGTGGAGGCAGGCGGGCGGCAGGGACGAAGGGAGAGGAGTGGCAGGCGGGCAGGCCGCGGGCAGCGGCCACACAAAGGCCCCAGTGTCTGCCCCGCTGCCCCGCGCAGATATAAATAATATGCATATACGTCGTTATGTATACGCCCGGGCTGGGGCCAGGGCCAGGGCCACGCGCTCTGCCCCCGGGCATGGCACAGGTCTGCCTCCTCGGGGCGGGGCGCCCGGAGACCCTCAGAGCGAGCGGCCAGGCCAGGGCCACGGTGACAAAAGGAGAAAAGCCTACAAGTATGAGCGCACCAAGCGACCAGCAGAGGTGGGAGGGCAGGAGCACAGGCGGAGACGCTGATCTCACTGAGGAGAGGGGAAGAGTCAGAGCCAGGAGTGAAGACGGGGCTTTCCAGACAAGGCAGACTGCAGAGGAACCCCGAGGGGAGCAGGGCAGAAAGGCCCAGAATGTAGCCGAGAGACACCCAGAGAGGCGGACAGGCTGGGCTGGGCCAGTGCGGGGGGCCTGGGAGGCTGGGGGTGCATCTGCACTTTGGGGGCCCCGCCTGTGGTGCTCTGGTCCAGCCCACTCCAGGGCAGATTGAAGGCCAGGGAGTGGAGGGGAGGGAGGTGGCCCAGGTTCCGGATCTTGGTGTTTACCTGGGGCAGGCACTGCAAACAGGGCCAGCCTGGCTCTCGGCAGGCGACGGCGGCATGGGATGGGCCCCAGCGCTGGCACAGCGGGCCCGACACGCCCACCTGTGGCCTGGGCAGTGAGGAACGCGGTGACACATCAGGGGACAGACACAGTGACACACGGCCCAGTAATAGCGACACGTGGTGACAGACCCTGTGAGGGGCTTCGGGACGCAGCGGTTGTCGGGCACAGGGGCTCAGAGAGAGAAACGGCAACGGGACGCGGTGAGCAGGACGCGGAGACGGTGACCGTAGACGGACAGTGTGGTGCAGGCGGTCAGCGGCACAGCGACACCCATAACCCCACAGCGGGCCAACCCCGACTGGCGGGCGCTCCCGCGTCACGCACTAGTACACCGACCGGACACGTCCTGGCCAGAGCCGCAGACCGGGGCGCCATGGGCCGGCGCCCGTCCACGGGGCGCGCTCGGAAACCACCTGGGCACCGCCGGCTTCTGGGGCTTCTCCTCCCGCTGCTGCAGCAGCCAGTGGTGGGAAACAGGGTGATGACAGGGAGGAGGGACTGAGACCCCTGGGCGCCCCCCGTGTTCTAGAAGAGCCCTGTGATCCAGGACCGGACTCAGGCTCGGACCGCCTGGGTGCAGGTCTGGCGCCCCCCTCGCTCCCACCTCCCCCGGCCTCAGCTTCACCAGTAACACACCGGTAGGGCCTGGTGGGCGGCGGCTGCTGTTGCTGCCTTCAACATTGTTGTCATCACCATCATCAGTGTCATCTCAAGCCTTCTGATGCCCTCTGCCCGCCGTGGGGTCCCGTTTCCCCAGCCACGGCCCCCTCCCTAGGCCCTTGGGTCCATCTGTCACCTCAGCCCACAGGCGGTGTCCAGGCCTGGCCGTTGCAGCCCAGGCCGCTGCGTGTCCCCAACACTACCCCTCCATCCCTGATCCCTGGCGTCCTCATGTCTGTCCATGCGTCCCACGTCTCGCTGTGGTACTTTTCCACACTGGACATCAGCCGGCTGTCCCTGGGGTGGGGGTCACACCTGCCCACGCCAGCCGAGCTGGTGGCCGCCAGACGCCCCGGCGGATGGCCCCACCCTCCCCCAGGACCCTAGAACAACACCCCGCCCCTCCGGCCACCTGAGGTCCCCACTGGGGCGGCCTGAGGCCCGAGCCTGGGGACAGGAAGCCCCAGGCCTGGCCGCCCTGAAAGCCTCTTTCAGCCTGGGCCTCCTCCCGCTGCCACCGACTCCTCCTGCGGAATAATATTTGGGCTGTTGGCCGGGGGGCGGGGGCCAGATCCGGAGGCCGCCTGGGAGAAGCCAGAAACCGCAGGGCTTCCTGCCTCGGGCCGGCTGACTCCGGGAGAGACCCCCAGGCCCGAGGGAGGGGGGCGGGCGCCCGGGGAGACTGAGGGCCTTTCTCTCGGCCCCAGTTGTTTTTTCCAGGAACCAGGAGGAATTCCCTGGCCGGCCCAGGACAGCCAGGCTGGTGGGAAGGACGGAGCCAGCACGGCAGGGCGGGGGTGACACGCGGACGGCCCGCACAGCCGCAGAAACAGGCCTGCGAGGTGGCAGGTAGAGGTGGAAACTCGGGGAGCTGAGGGGGGCGGAGGAGTGGGGGAGACGGGCCTTGGGAGAGGGAGTTAGCGTCCCGAGGCAAGGAGGGACACCCATGGGTGCAGAGGGAAGCGTCGAGTCAAAGCAGTAATCTAGAGTAAGAAAGAGTTCACAAGAGAGACCAAGTGAGACAGGATGAGCGAGCGCCGTCCCAAAAGCCAGGGGCCAGGGAGAAGGGCACAGGGAGCCGTTAGGACGGTGGCGCCGGGAGAAGCCGCACCGCAGCAGGCCGCGTCCACGAAGGGCGCCTGGAGTCAGTGGCCATGGAAGACGCCACAGACTGAGGGACAGGCAGCCCCAGCAAGTGACCGGGGCCCAGTCCCTTCCCATTCGGGGCCTCAGTGATGGACACAGAGCTGGGCCCTCGAGGACCTGGAGGAGGAGACACCCAGAACGCGGCCGACAGGGCCACCTCCTCCCCACACACCAGGGCCTGCGGGTCGGTGGGCGCTGAACATGTGCCGCCTGGTAAACATGGATGCCGACTGCTGGATCGATGGGAAACGCGACAGACCCACAACACGGACGCAGGTGCACACACACGACACCCACGCGGGGGCCGTCGACTGGACACGGACCGTCACACATACCCCACTCAGCACGGACCCGACCACAGAGGCTGGGCGGCAGCGTGTGGACAAGGGACCCACCCACCGAGACACACACCTGTCTGCGTGAGACGCAGAGGGCCCTGGGGTAGGGATCAAAGAGAAGCACCCCAAGAGCAGACACACACGTCGGCATCTGCGATCAGAGACACCCAGAACATGGCACGCACACGCACACCGAGAAGCGCCAGCACATCCATTCCCTTTCAGTGTACACCGCCCGAACTTGCACGGCCCCTGGGCGCCCTGAGCCGGGGAGCAGGGGGGTGTGTCTGGGCAGTGGAGGTGGGGAGATGGCCTTGGTCACAGCGCGCCACCTCCCCCGCTGCCCTGGCTCCCCCGCTGCGGGGGCTGCTATCTGTAAGCAAACTGTCCTTGGGGTCAGGGACAGCAAAGAGCCAAAGGTCAGGTCGATGGCTCCCCCAGCCCCTCCCCCAGGGGCAGGCAGCCCTGGGGGGTAGGAGGGAGAGGGGGTCAGGGAACAGAAGTCAGGCGCTCAAGCCCCACAGGGCCCACCCGCCAAGGAAAGGAGACTTCAGCAACCGGCAGAAATGGTGCCTTTAATGGTGAAACACAGCCAGTATTCCGCTTCCCAGGCAAGAACTAGACTTCAGTAGAAATTCCCCGCACCTTCACCAGTCCTTTCTGGTCGCTCCTGGACCAGGCCAGGGGGATGGGCTCCAGGGGAAACGAAGGTAGATTTTCATCTCTGTCCCCCCACTCACTCATACCCAAGAGACCCATGGCAACATCTGGGGGGGGGAGGGTCGGGGGCTGTCACGTGCACAAGGTACACTGCTTATGTAAGCCAGCCAAGATGGTGGCCATCACAGCACCCAGAGAAACAAGAAATGTTAGGTCGAGTGGTGGCTGACTTCGGTGCCAAGTAGTCCATCAAAAAAGTGATCCCAGGGCCCAACGGGCCAAAGCATATGTCATTGAGAAAGTATCACCATCACACCCAAAGGGTTGGCCCGGAGGCTGTCCACCTCAGGGCTCAAGGGGCCAGCCAAGATGGCACCCACTGGGCTCCCAATGGATCCACCCGTAGCATCAGTCAGCGCGGTAGTCTTGGCCGGACCCAACGGGCCCACTGAGATGCCAATGGCAAGGATCACAGTGCCCCGTGGATCCGCACGGGGCCCACAGAGACCACAGCAACAGGCCAACCAAGACGTGAACGGACGGGCCGAGCCGTGGGCTCAGGCTCCGGAGCCGGTGGTGCGGGCTGCCGCATGCCCGAAGCGCCTGCGGCCCTGCTAGGACGCGTTCAGCAGCGAGCGGGAATAGAGGCCCTGGTAGTAGGCCCCGGGCTCGGCGCCCTCGGCCCCGAAGCCCGCAAACCCCATGTCCAGTTTGGGAGGCGCGGGCGTCTGTTCGGACATCAGGTTGTTGATGGAGAAGGGGTGGTTGAAGTTGTAGGGCGCATCCAGCTTCAGCTCCCCGGGGAGCTCCAGGCCGGGGAAATAAGGGGTGGAGGAGGGGGGGGAGGCGCAGTCCAGAGCCCCCACCTCTTCGGCACCCTGGGCCTCAGGTTCGGGGGGCGCAGGCTGGGGCGCAGAGGCGCCGGGGGCGGGCGCGGCGGCAGCGCCCCTGGCGGAGGACCCGCCGCCCGCTTTCTTCACCTTCTCCTCCAGCTTGAAGCGCTTCTGGCGGCGCAGGTAGCACCCGTTCTCGAACATGTTACCTGAGCTGGGGTGCAGCGCCCAGTAAGAGCCCTTGCCGGGCTTGTCTGGGGAGCGAGCGACCTTGACAAAGCAGTCGTTGAAGGAGAGCGAGTGGCGGATGGAGTTCTGCCAGCGCTGCTGGTTCTCCCGGTAGTAGGGGAAGAGGTCCATGATCCACTGGTAGATCTCGCTCAGCGTGAGCATCTTGCCTGGCGCCTGCTGGATGGCCATGGTGATGAGCGAGATGTAGGAGTATGGCGGCTTGGCGTGCGCCAGGGGCCGCCGGTACCCTTTCGGCATCTCCTTCCCGTGCACCAGCCCCGGCCCCGGGCCCCCGTACGCAGAGCTGCTGCCCCCTCCGCTGCTGGCACCCAGGCCTGGGAAGGTAGGCCCCAGGGGCGCCGTGGGGGCCGGGGGCGCCAGGGGTCCCGAGGGCAGCGGGGAGGCAGGGAGCCCCCCCGGGGGGTAGGGGGCACTCAGAGGGTTCAGGGTCATGTAGGAGTTGAGGGGGGCCATGGTGGGCACTGGGGTCACCGGAGAGTAGACCTGCAGGGAGAGAGAGAGATGGGGAGGGGTCACCGAGTCTCCACCAGGCTGAGTCCCCCCCCCCCCATGGGGTCTTGGGTCTCCTCGGTCCTTTCCTCACTGTCACTGTCTCGTGAGTCTCGCTCTTCCCCTTCATCATGCACCCCTACCCCCCCACCCCGCGGGCTCCTCCATGCTCCCCGATACTGGAGTGCATTCTCTAAGGGGTTCTCAGAGTGTGGTCCAGACGCCCTGGAGAGTCTCCAAGACGCCTCTAGTGTGTCCATGAGGCCCAAATTATTTTCATAAAAATATTATATTATTAGCTTTTTCGCTCTCCTCCTCTCATGAGTATACAGTGGAGTTTTCCAGAGGTTACCTGCCATGTGACATGGCAAGGCCTGGTTCCCGCTCCAGAGCCATCCAGCTGTGTCCTATGCAGGCAGGCACCAGAGGAAACAGGAGCGAAACCGAGCCAGGCCTCGCCCCCTAAACGCTTTGAAGTAGTCACTATAATTCAAATGCATTCTTTATACTAACGAATGGCCGCTCTTTTAAAATGAATTAAAATATACTCGAACACCTTCTCAGTTTTAACGGGCAACTAGAGACTAGACGTGATCCATGCCCACAGCAAACCTTTGGGTCATCCCCAATACATTTTAAGAGTTTAAAGCGCTTCTGGGGAAAAAAAAAGAAAAAAAGAAAAAAAAGAAAAACTAGTTTATCTAATCTACCTGATAGTATATCCTTTTATAAAATTAGCTTTTAATGAGTCAAAACTATTTGAATACCAGAAATCCCACGTCAACCAAATATACCCCCTCCTTACAGTATATCCTCAAGTCTAAGGCATTGCTGTAAAAAGCAGTGGGATTTGGGTAACAGTGACCGGGGGAAACTCGCTGCCAATTATAATTCCTACACACCATGGACAAGAAAAGCAATTCCACTTTCATAAATGATCAAACGGCAAAAACATGTTTCCTAGCCCAATGAAATACAGCAGACAGGCCGAAGTCTCCCAAAATAGCCTCTCCATATTCTCTCAAATATTTAACAGACATTTATTGGCTTCCTCCTCCGTGCCAGGTACTGGTCCAGCACAGGCGAGGCCCCCGTGAGCCTTAATCACACAGGTGAGGGTGTGGGGGTTCTGATGGTGCCCACTTTACAGCCGAGGAAGCTGAGCCCAGCGAGGGTGCTTGCGTCACACAGCAAGGAAGGGGCAGAATTGGGGTTGCAAACCCTGGCTCTGGACTGACATTCTGAATCATGCTCTAAAAACAGCGACCCAGATAGACGGAAATGCAGCCTGCCCTCATGGGGCTGCCAGTCTAGCAGGAAGTGAGCGGGGAGCAAGGAAGCGGTGAAGCCCTGGGGATAGTAGTGATCTCCCTTGCTCTGTGTTGGCCCTCTCTGGTCACTGTCTTTCATCCTCTCTCCTTTGAGGGCCCACTTCCTGTCTTCCTGTCTGCCCTGTTCCCTCCCCCCAGAAAGTCCAGTGGCTTGGGGGTCCTGCTCTAGCTCTGGAAGGAGCCAGCTGGCTGGGCTCTTGTGGAGCCCCTTTCACGGCCAGCATCTGCAGAACGCAAGGTCCAGAGAGAAAAGGGGATTGCCAGGGTTCCTCAGGAAGTCAGGGACAGGTAGACGTGTCTCCAGGTACCGCCTGGAATGTGTCTTGGCATCTCCCTGTGTGTGTGTGCGTGTGTGTCCGTCTGTCTGACTCAGTATCTGTAAATTCCTCCCTTCCACTCTCCCTCATCCCCGCCCACTGTGTCTCTGTCTCTTCTCGCACCTTCCCCTTGTCTGTCTCTACTCTATCTCCCGTCTCTCCCCTTGATCTCTTTCATGCTTCCCCTCCTCTGCTAGTCTCCCCCACTTCTCTCCTCCTGACACTTCCTGAGCCCTCTCTCTCCTGCCCCCCACATTGTCTCTCTCTGCCCTTCCACTTTGTTTTTCTCTCTTCAGCACCTGTCTCTGTCTTTCTCTACCCCATTCTTCCCAAGCCTCCCCCATGTCTCTTTCTCCTTCTGGGGTGAAGCCATTCTCTGCACCTCCTTCCCTCACTCAGCATTGCCATCTGGGCACAGTTACTCCCCTCCAACTGACACCCCCCCACCAGCTCCGCCCCTCCCCAGAATAAAAGGGGGGCCCACAGGAGAGGTGATGGATTCGTGAAGATCAGAGTTTCTAAATCTCTTCGCGGCCACCCCCCAGCTTCTCCAGCTCAGACCCCAGGGCCCTCCTTTTCTGGCTCTCCACCCACCAGGAAGTCCTCCTTGAGGTCTGACCTCAGGCACTCCAGCTGCCCTAATCCACCCTTGGCTTTCCCACGCCCCGGGGCTGGGATGAACCCCCAGTGTCCGGGTCTGAGCCGGATCTCCCCTGCCAGGGTGGGGCTAAGATTGGGGGGAAGCCCTCAGGGGACCTGCACCCCCACCCCAGAAGGCTGGAATTTCTCCCCTTTCATTTCCTTATTGTCTCCGGAGGAGGGTGTGACAGGGAGAGTGTGAAGCTAGAAGCCTGGTCTCAGCCTCAGTCTAGAGCCCAGGACGCCCCCACCCCCCACCCCGACTCGACTCCACAGGCTCAGGGTTTTCCATCTTTAAAGTTGGGGCGCACTTTAGAGTTGCTTCAGCCAGTAGGGATGCCCCAGTGTGATAACTCTTCAATTTCCTTTCAGACAGGAAACGGCCTGGGGGTGTCAGCATCGCCCCAGCAGGAGGGCATGGTGGGCAAGAAGCAGTGGGGACCCTATTCCTCCTCGCTGAGGAGCACATGTCTCTCGCTCTATTGTTCTGACCCAAGAAGAGGTGGTGGCTCGCCGATGGGAAGGGTGGAGAGCCCCTCAAACAGTATTCCTACTCCAGTCCCTTATAGGTCTACTCTCCCAAAACATGCCCTCAGCACCCTCAATTTCCGGCATTATCTCCAGGCAGATTATCTCCCAAACTTCAGACTGCACCCCAATTCATGACTTCTCCATGTGAAGACCTCCCCACCATCTATCTCTTCAGATGTACCCCCCAACATGGATTTGCAATTAGCCCCTTTTACTCAACCCCTGGCTCTGAACTTTCCAGGGTCCAGCTGGGACCCCCCCCCACTCCTGGGAACCCCCCACTGCCCACACCTCCCACCCCAGTCTTTGACTCCCCCAATGTACAATGGACACCGCTGGTGGCCCCACCTCCACCTCTCCACACTGGCAACCTCTTCCTCAGCTCAGCCTGCCCCACCCCACCTGCACCTCACACCTCCACAGCCCCAGGACTGGCCCCTGCTGGGCACCTGGCCAAGCCCCACAGTCCCAACCTACAGCTTCAAACCCCAGACTGCTGGAGCCCCGAAGTCCCCACAGATTGCAGCCTCCTTGGGGAACACAGCTATCCCAGCTTCACACCCCCACTTCAAGCCCACACATGCTTTGTAGGTTAGGAGCTAAGTGTCCAGACCCCCATAACCGTCCAACAAGCCCCTGCCCCCCAAGGGTGCCAGCTAATAAATCCCTGCAGCAAGAGGAATGGGAATTAGACTCAGGAAGGACTTTCTATCTGCTGGGGTGAGGGAATTAAGATAAACCCCCTCCCCCTACACTGGGTGGTCTGCTCCGAGGTGGGACTGCTGAGGACATTAGCAATTACTAGAAATTGCTTGAAGGAAAAGGGGGGAGGTGAGAAATCTGAAACCCTCTGGCCTCCACCAGCAAGAATCCCTGCTGAGGGTCTCTAATAACAATTAAACCCCTGAAGTTCAGCCGGGAGGGGTGAGGGTCATGAGTGAAGGAAGGCGGGGTGCAGAGATTGCTCCTCTTCTGCCAGTGCTGTGGTTGTCCCCGTCTCCTGCTCTCAGGCTCCCAATTCTGACCCCATCTGGGGTCCCTGTCGATCTGATCCCCAATTCTAACCCACCTGTTATTTCAGCCTCCCCAAACGAAACCTCATCTAGCACCTCGGGTCTCTTATCTCTGAGCAACAGCCCCCACCTCTTAGATCACCATTGTGACCCGTACCCCTGAATCCCAACCCCAGAAGCCCCATCTTTCACACTAGTCTCACAGTGAGCTCCCACCTTGAGCTCCCCTAAATAGTGGCTTCCCTCTTCCCATCTCTTAGTTCCTACCTCTTCCCTCCATTCTGACCCCCATGTCCTAATGCCCCAGCTATTCTGAGGTTCTGATTCTTATCTTTGGTTTGTTCATTTTAATCCCTTAAGTTTTGGGGTTCCCAATGCCCAGACTTCATCTTCCGGCTATGACCTGACCCTTTGCCTAAAATTTCCCGACTCCCACTTTCTATACCACGCTCCCATGCCCTGTCCCCTTTCCCTCACTCCTACACCTGGTCTCCGCATCTCTAGTTCCCCAGCTCCTCCACTCTGGTTGGGGCCCCCATTTGAGCCCCTGGCCCGCATGTGAGCCCGCACCGTGATTCCTGCCCCCCACTTCCCGCTCCGCGGTCCCCGGGGACACACCTCGCCCGCCTCCGGGTAGTAGCTCCACTCCGCCAGGTCATGGGCCTCCATCTTCACCGAGCCCAGCATCCCCCGGGCCTGCACCCCCACCCGCCCCCGCTCCGGTCCGGGGTGGGGGGAGCCGAGCACTTCTGATCTCTCAGCCCGCGCGGCCCGAGCTGCGACCGGCGCCCGCCGTCCGACCGCCTCGGGTCTCAGCCGTCCCGGGCGCCGCGGGAGGCGGCCACGCTTTATAGCTGGGGACACCCCCCCCCACCCACTCCGCCCTCGCCCGCTCCGGGCACCCCGCCCGCCTCCCCGAGAGCGGCGCGCTCGGACTGAGGCGCCCCCTGCGGGATTGCGAGGAGACGGACCAAGGGCGACGGGCGCCGCAGCCCGGGGACCCGAGAGCTGCGGTGGGAGGCGCTGCTGATACTGGAGCCGCGGGGGGCAGAACTCTGGGCCCTTCTATACCGGGTGGCATCTTTTCGACAGAAGACAAATAGCCAGAGTTCGGTGGAGTCGCCCCGAAAAAAGAGGGCCCAGAGCGCACTTAGCTTCGAAGGGGCCCCCTTCTGCCGCTCTAAGGACAGATCAGAAAGCCCATTGGCATTGGACGGGTGGGGACGGCTGAGAAGCTCCACACCGTGTAAAGGGTCGGGCTCAAAGGCGGAGGGGGCCGGGGCCTCCACTCAGACCCCACTAGGGCCACCGACCACCTCCAGGACTCGGGAGGTGCCAGCCCGCCCTCTGCGCGCTCTCCGCCACCAGCCGTCCAGGAACGCGGAGCCACCGAGAACTCCATTTCCCAGAAGCCCCAGCTCCCCGCGGCCCCGCGCCTCCATCAGGGACTGCATTTCCCAGGAGGCATGGCGCGCGAAGGCCGGAAATGAAGGGCCGCCCCGGCTTCGTCCGGGGGCGGGCAGAAGGCCGCTCACGCGGCCCAGGCAGGGGCCAGGCTGGGCCGCAGCGTGGACTCCATTTCCCGGCGGTCCTGTGGGAGGGGCGCGTGCGCAGTGTCTCGGCGAGGGACGGAAGATGGCGGCGTCGTCGTCTGCGAAGAGGCGCTGCTGAGGGGGCGCGAGGGGGACGGAGGCCGGAGCCGCGGTGAGCGGGGGCGGCGTGGGGGCCCGAGGGTCCAGGGGGGAAGGACCCTGAAGAGGCAGGGCGCTGGCGGGGGAGGGTGAGTGCGCTGCGAGGAGAGGGGAGCAGTGACGTTCGGTACCCCACTTTCTTTCCTGCCCAGGACCCTCTCGTGGCTTCCCAGCGCCCTCAGGGCAAAGTTCCAACGTGGCCCCCCGGGCGCGTCGGCCCCGCCGGCCTCGGCTCTGCCTCTTTGCACATTCACACTTCACACTGCTGCACCGGCCTTTGGGTTCCTCAAACTCGCCATGCGCCTTCCCGCCTTAGGATTTTTGCACAAGCCGCCCCCTCCGCCCGCAACATCCTTTCATCCCTCTACCCGGCTAGCGCCCATTCATCTTTGGGGCTCCGCTGCAGCGTCACTTCCTCTGCCAAGTCCTCCTTTTCCCGCCCTCTATCCCGAAACCCCCCTGCTGAACGCACTCCTTCCTAGGCCCCCGTTCTTTCCCTTCACGTCACGTGTCGGCTCATTCGTTATCACACCTTTATTTGTGTGGTTGCGCTGTCGGGGATCTTGAGCCCCAGTGCTGGTCACCCGCTGTAATGCCGGCCAGCCGGCCACTCAGAAGACACCCAGTTATTGTTCGCAGAATGAAAGATAAACTCCTAGGGTTACTCTGTAGATGAAGGGATTCAGACTCCTAGGTGAGAGGGAGGCCGTGGTACCCCAGGATGGAAGGGGAAGCAGGAATGGCTGGTAGTAGCAAAGACTAAAAACACCCCCAAATGTTCTTGAATAGGGAGACAGGCTGAAAAAGTCAGGACACAGCTCGGGAATAAAATGTTTTGCAGCTATAAAAGGGAATGGGGCGGGGGCAGGAACGTGGACGTCTCCACACTCCTGGGACATGTTCAGTGAAAACAGACTAGAAGACAGCGTTCACTGCATGCTTCCAAGAGAGGGGGCGACATGTATATACTTGGGCCGAAAAGGGACAGTCACAGAGTGGGAGAAGGAAACGATGTTGGTGGATCCCGACGTATTTGAGAGAAGAGTGGAAAGGGTCATTAGAAAGGGGTCCTTATGCTCTCATGGGTCCAGCAGTGTGCTGTGGCCACACGCCTTGGGCTGCAAGGACAGCTGGGGGGAGGAGCTTCCCGTCAGGTGGGTGCTGCTGTGGTGAGCAGCACAGGTACTGCAGCTGGGCGCTCGCTCAGCCTCGCAGAGGCTGTGAGCCTTTGCCCCCATGGCTTCAACTCAATGACCTTCAGGTTTTCTCATACATTGGAAATTAAAGCTAGATTCTCTCTAGTTTTCCCTTTTTAAAAAAGAATTTATTTTTATTTATACATACAAGAACTGGAGTGCAGGCCAAAGGTGTGGGGAGGAGGGTGAGAGGATCCACCAGAGACAGAGGGGGAGCAGAACAGGCGGACTGTGAAGCACACGGCCAGGGGGAGCAGCAGGCGGGTCAGGAGAGGTCTGCTGTGCCCGTGGGTCACTTCCTGGCCGGGGATCGAACTCATGCCCCAGTGGCTGCGGATAGCTTGATTGCACTGAGACTTTAACCCCTGCACATCAGAAAGGGCCTAGTTCCTCTTCTTCACTTAAGAGTAAGTATGAGACTGAGATGGGTGATAGGTATATTAGAATTGTGCCCAGTGTGTATTACACACTTAGTCAATACTAGTTATTATTTTTCTCAAGCATTTTGAGGGCAAAAGGCAGTTACTGAGCCCAGCGATTGGGGAAGCCTTTGGCGCCCCTCAGCTGGTATTTATGGAGCACTTACTAGCTGCCCAGCACTGTTGCAGGCAGAAAATACAAAACAGTGAACTAATGGGCAGATGTGGCCACACACATCTCTCCCCTCGTGGAACTTATCAATATGTAGCGTGTGGGTGGTAATAAAGTCCATGGAGAAGAGAAGCGCAGCACAGATGGAGAGAGAAGAAGCTGAACTCTCAATTTGGGGGAGAGGAAAAGCTCACTCCCAAGAGACTGAAGAAAGCGAGTTGTCCCTCACCTGGGGTGAAGAGTACTCCAGGGAGAAGGAAGAGGTGCATGGAGACTTTGAGAAAGGGGTGGGCTTGGCCTTTCCCGGAGACAGGAAGCCAGAGCGGGACATGCGGGCTGAGATCCGACGCCTTCGAGGCCTTGGTGAAGATGCCGGCTTCCGCTCGGAGCAGGATGTGGGGCGACAGCAAGGAGGGTTTCGGGAGGGTGCCGGACAGTCACGCTGGGCAGATGCTGCGTGATCGCTGCTGTGTACAGTAGATGTGACCGGTCTCATCCCATGTACACAATGGCAGCAGCGTGACTCCCCCCACTCGCCAGAAAGCCTGTTCTGGGGCCGGAGAGAGTGCAGCCGGCTGGGAGCAGGCAGCGCCCCAGCCCGCGGGGTGGCTGTATACAGGTGCAGCCAGCCAGTGGGTGCTGAGATCAGCCCGGGGGTGCGAAGCACTGAGGGGCCTGGTAGTTGAGGTACTGCCTCTAAGCAGGGAGACATGAGGCTCCCCGGATGACAGACCCCACATATATAAGGTCTGAGGCAGACCTGAGAGGGGGGAGGAGCTTCAGAAGACCTAGAGCCGGGATAGGTGGGGAAGGAGGGTTCCTTGGTGAAGAGTGGGGTGAAGATCCAGCCTAGTCCTGACCCCCAGAGCTGATCCACCTCTCCTCCAGGGCGCCCCGGACAGCAGCCATGGCAGGCAGCAGTGGGGACAGCGTCACTCGCCGGAGCGTAGCCTCCCAGTTTTTCACACAAGAGGAAGGGCCGGGCATCGATGGCATGACCACCTCAGAGAGAGTGAGTGGAGGACGAGGCACAGCCCCCGCCTCGGGGAGGCCCGTGCCCAGGTGGCAGAGCCCTGGGGCGTGGGGGGCTGGGCTGACGAGGCAGCTCCATCACTGGCTCCCCTCCCGCCAGGTGGTGGATCTCCTGAACCAGGCAGCGCTCATCACCAATGACTCGAAGATCACAGTTCTCAAGCAGGTGAGGGGTGGGGCGGGCTGAGCAGGCCTGGGGTGCAAAAGCCTGTGGGAAGGAAGATGGTAGCCACATGGGTGTCCACGTTGAAGCCCTGGGGATGTGCCTGCTCAGGCTGTCAGGCAGAGGCTCTCACCAGAGCCCCGTGGGCTGGGGTGATTTCACCCCTTTCCCATACGGAGAGTATCTCGGAGCCCAGGTTTGCTCTTCTGGGAGCTGACTGCATTGGGACTTTGGTGCTGGACTCTTAAGTCCAGATCCCACGCTTGTGTTTCCTCCCCTGAAAGTGGGGCCCAAAAGGGGGAGGCATAGAGGACCCTAGGGCCTGAGGTAGTCCAGAGGGGCTCCTGACCTACCTGAGGCACAGGGTGGGGAGGGGGTCACAGAGGGGACAGTCACAGAGGGGACATTTGAGCTGAGGCCTGGAGAAAGCTGACTGAGAAGCAGGCCAGGCGGGAGGGCTGTCTCAGCCAGGGCACCGGAGCGTGAGCACAGGCAGAAGTGGCCCTGGGAGCTGGGGGATGCTGGGAGGCAGGTGGAGCTCACCTCTGGGTGTGAGCCCCAGCTCAGTCACCCGTTCGGCCTGTGGTCCTGGGTACGACTCCCTGCCAGCCTCGCAGTGGCAGTGCTGGCGAGTCCTTGTGCCTGGCTGTGGAGCATGCAGTGAGGCACCTGGGCTGTGGGGCCGGCCTGGGCCGTGCTGGGTGTGTCTACCCACAGAAGGGCTTACGCCAGAGAGCCTGCCAGGCACAGGGGCTCACAGCCACAAATCCCTGCTGGATGGGCCTGCTGGGCTGAGGCCTCGCAGCTGGCCTGGGTCCCTGGGTAGAGAACAGCGGCTGAGGCCCAGGGTGGCGAGGCTCTGGCTGGGACGGTGGCAGGGCGTGGCAGAGCCAGGACTGGAGCTGAGGTGTCTGCCCGGTGTGTGTCCCCAGGTCCAGGAACTGATCATCAACAAAGACCCCACGCTCTTGGACAACTTTCTGGATGTGAGTGACAAACCGGCGAGCGGGGGGT